AAGAAGTTGATGATGTAATACAGTGATCAGAACTCAGAAGATCAAGAAAAATTATCTCTTAAAAGAGTCAAGCGAAAAATAAAGGGGGGGGTGGAGTGAAGAGATAAGCTAACAAAAATTAGGAAACAAAGTTACTAAGATGTGAGTCACCAGGGTAATTGAAGTCCAACAACGGATTCTTTTTGGACACATAAGTCAGGCTTCAAATGTTTTATTGCTATAGCTTCAGCTAACCTGAGAAGACTTGCGGTACTTTGTCTGTTAATCATTTTGAATGATCCAGCACATCTACTCGGTGTCCTGTGTCAATCAAGTGTTTGGCGATTGAAGAGCTTAAACAATTCGGTCCCTTTAACCGGAGGCTCCTTGGTACATGTTCACAGAATCTGACGTAGGCCCTCCTCTCTGTTCTTCCAACGTAACTGCTCCCGCAGATACATGTGAATTGGTATACACAGTTGGAGGGTACTTTTCAATCTTTGACTGCACCAGTGAGGAGGTTGTTCGGGATGCAGAGACCAATAACGCTGCAGGATACGTCCTAGACAGGGCTGCGCTTGATCTTTTATTTACTATTCTCATGATGTCGTCGCCCTTGTAGTCGAGTTTGATGAAAATAGGATTCTTACTGACTGTAGATGTATCAAGCTTCTTGAGTTCATTCTTACCACATTTGTTAATAAAACTTTGTGGGTAACCATTTCTTTCAAGCATTTTTCAAGAAGCATTAGCTCACTGTCTAGTTTGTTTGATGAAGATATTCTCTTCGCTCTAGAGTAAAGCTTTTTCGCCAGCGTTCGTTTGTATCTCACTGGGCAGAAACTGTTGAAATTCAAGTAAAAACCACTCCATGTGTCTTTACGATATACAGATCTTTCAGTAGAAAGTAGAATTCATGGGCTATCCACTGAATCGGGTCCCAGTGGCTGAATAAAAAACAAGCTTGTCGTGTAACCAGAAGGTCCTTGGTTCGAAACCCCCAGTGTTTGCGTACTGTTGATGAGTTCCAAACTAACATGAAACAGCTGTCCTGTTGGTTTTCAATAGTTCTCTAACTAAAATCAATCTGTGATCCAACCTGAAACAAGCAGAATCTCTACAAAACTAATTCTTGAAAATTATTTATTACAACTTCTTTTGATACTTGTCACTTAACAAGCTTTCAGTTTACGCCTAATAAAACACTTAATGATAGCATAAAATGAAGATGATTAGTTGGAATGGAAGTTGTTTTCCATAAGATAAGTAGGACAAAGAAAGCTAATCAATCCCCCTAACGAACTAATCACGTATGCATCTGATCTATGCTTATCTCACTCATCAGGCAGTAAAAATAACCACCCAAGATGATGAGTGTTTTAAACGAACCACCTCAAAACATTCTTTTCTTAAAGCTGTATCACAAAATTATTGATGCTTAACACTTCAATTTATCTTGTTCAAAAGTAAATAACGAAAGTTCTATTCCAATTTATGCCTACATACATACATACATACACAGACCGCTTAAACTTCAAATTTTCAAAATTAGAATTGATGCAGTTTCCACCGGACAAAACATTTTTCATACCTGAAAATAAATAGATTTGTATTCTCAAATTGAAACACCTTATACATTTTTTTTTGGTTTCATACTATGTCTGAAATCACTAGGTGATTTTGACATCAGAAAATCTCTTCTATTTTTTTTTAATTTTATAAATCGCAAACTAAGCGCCAAAAAACAATGGTAACCTTGTTTACAGAAATGTATGGATCACGTCATTTTATTCATTCACATCCGGTAAATTCACGTTTATAAAAGTCAACCTGAAATGTTAAAATCTATTAAAGGAATCTTTGGCTGCCTTACGAGTTTTTGTTGTTTCTTCTTATTTTTTATTTCGTTACTGTGTGCCAAGTTTCATAATTCCTTAGATTTAACAGATTTTCTGTGTGACAGTTTTAAATAAGTGAATTTCAGTATAAATGTAGGTGAACTAAACACATGACGTTGTTCGAATAATAGATTTTTCGTTTGTCGATTTATACGACTTAATGTGTAGCGGTAAATAATTCCCCAGAACTCTCAGTCTACAGAATGTTTAAGTCGACATGTTAAAGTGAGGGTTAACGCTTAAGCATCTATTCTATTTGGCACGCTATTGTGTTGCGTTCGTTCGTTCGCTCGCTCGTTAGTACATGATCTATAGCTAGCTAAATAATCATTATAACACTACGATTTCTTTATAATAGAGGTTTTTGTATTTCCCAATGAATGAAAAACAAAACGAGAATGTTTTTACTGACATTTCACTATTTAATGCTAATAGCTTTCTCAAAGTATTATTAAACCGGAATTTACAAATCTCAGCATATATATAACAAAGAGTTAGGGGGTGAGAAAAATATAGATTTAGTTCAACTTAAAAGGACATAATGAAAGTCAAAATAACAATGAAGACCGTTCAAACCAAATATCGAAGGTAATAGTATATCTGTTATTATATCAAAACAAGGTTTACTAACTTGATCATCGTTCGTTAGTCTGGGATCATTTAGGTTGTCAAGTTGGAGAATAGGTAAAGGTAACCAAACTAAGTGTAGGTTGTGAATAATACTTTGTGTTAATAATTGTTGTGTTAATAATACTTTGAGAAAGCTATTAGCATTAAATAGCGAAACATCAGTAAAAACAATCTCGTTTTGTTTTTCATTCATTGGGAAATACAAAAACCTTTATTATAATGAATATCATATACCCAATGCCCAAATTTTTTCAAACCGTTAAAAGTGAACTTGGTTTGGACATATATAATCTAATTAAAAACCGCATTACTCTGTCGAAGCATAAATGTAACTTTTATAATCATCGTATTTTCAATTTACGCTGTCTACAAAGTGGAATTATTCCCAAATCACTACGTGTTAAACCTCCTGAATATTCACACAAATCCATACTTGCTGCAAATCATACCTCCAAAGTATTTTTACGAGAACGTATACATATATGCAACATCAAACTTGAATCTTATCGAATGAGAATCAAAAATATAGATGACTGCTTAACATTACTTGTTACAAATTATATCTATGAATCCTTTCAAAAATTGTTCAATGAACGAGAATCTCATTTTCATAATATCACTAAAAGAAGACATATTCAAAAATTCTTGAAACTCGAAGAAAAGAAACAACCAAAGAATACCTCAACAAATGATATGAAGAATATTAGAGCCATACATAACATGTCAGACAAGATACTAACCGAAAATGAAATCTCATTACTACAGAAAGGTTTGAATTTCAATATAACTAGAAAGCCATTATCGGTCCAGGAAATAGCACCTATGATTGAACCTGCTCTACAACAACTCACCAATGAAGAATCACAATCTGCTCGTCAAAAGATTTCACACATATTAATGACACAACGAAACATACCATCTAATCTCACCAAACAAGAATATGAAGCCTTAAGAAATTTGAAGAAAGACAAAAGCATCGTCATAACGAAAGCCGACAAAGGGAACGTCACTGTGATAATGAACAGAACGGATTATGAATAGAAGGCGATTGAACACCTATCTGAAGGACCATACTTACTCATTGAAGAGAAGAAGAAATCCGCCGAATTCAACAAAATGAAACTAAATACAAACAGACTACTTCAAGAAATGAAACCCAAAATTGGAAATTCGCTCTGGTTTACACTAAAACCAAAATCTTATATACCTTCAAGATTCTACGGTCAACCAAAGATGCATAAACCCACAGTTCCATTAAGACCAGTGATAGATTTCACCAACTCACCAACATACAACCTTTCTAAATACTTACTCTCGATACTACAACCACTACAAAAGGACACTCAAAACATTGTAAAAAATTCATATGATTTCAAATCCCAAATAGAACACCGAGAAATTGATAAAGAAGACATTATGGTAAGCTATGATATTAACTCACTATATACTAGCATCCCTATTACCGAAAGTCTTGATATCATTTCCAGTCTACTAGAATCAGATACAACACTATCACAAAGATGTCCACCGGACACCATTGAAATAATTAAGAGCTTAAAATTCTGTCTAGAAAGTAATTATTTTACATTTAAAGAGAGTTTATATAGACAGACAAATGGTGTTGCTATGTTTTCACCAGTCTCCCCAATAGTTGCTGATCTTTTCATGAATATATTCGAAAATAACATTTTTTCAAGCACACTCACTCCTAAAGTATGGTTAAGATATGTAGATGATACTTTTGTAGTACTAAAACGAGATCTACACAATTCATTCCTGGAGAAAATAAACTGTGTATCTCCCAAAATCCATTTCACTTCGGAAGCAGAATCAGACATCGGTGAACTACCATTTCTAGACTGCCTAGTTAAGAGAAAGGAAAACGGACATTTTAGTATATCCATATTCAGGAAGAAAACCCACTCCAATAAATATTTAGACTTCAAATCATCACACCCCATCAGCGCAAAGATTTCAGTTGCTTCAAGTCTTTTTAGACGAGCGCACTCTCTGATTACGGATGAGCAAGAAAAAAAAGGAGAAATATCAAACATTATTGAGACCCTCAAGCAAAACAACTACCCAAGGAACTTCATCAACAAGATAAACACAGACATTAAGTATGGCCGAAAACGCATTCCGAAAACATGGACATCAACAGTCGTCATTCCATACAGAGCAAAGACGTCAGACGATATCAGAAGAATACCTAATCAGCTCGACATTAGAGTTTTCTTCAAAACATCAGACACACTTCAAAGCAACCTTGTCCATATAAAAGACCAAATCCCTAAAGATTCTCTATCTAATTGTGTCTATAAAATGCTCGGAATGCGATGCGATCTTCATCGGACAAACATCTCGAGAAATCAAAATCAGAAGAAATGAACACCGTAGAGCATCTATTCGACCACCAAGAAATCCAATTGAACTAGAAAAACTTCAAAAATCATCAGCCATAGGTCTAATAATAATATACCAACAGAATCGAATATGGCTTCGACTAGACCTATAAATCCAGGTGGAACAACTATAGCTAACAAGTTTACGACTGAGAATATCCCCTCTCAACATGGTCCATCTACGACAACTATGCCGACTACTACATTGACTGCTGCTCTACCTCAAATTAATAATCCTCATCAATCTACTCTTTCATCGTCTATTGTAACAAATACAGTCCCACTGAATACAGTTCATTTAACTACTACTGTTAATTCTGTTTCGACTGTATCAAGTCAGAACCAACCTGGATCTCAACTGCCAACTTCAAAGTGAATTTATCCTAGTGGAAGAAATCAGCATGGTCTTTCTATAAGGATCTGTATCAAAATCTACAGTCTTATTCTCAACAGTCTCGTGTCTTTGCTGTCTGATATTATTGTAAAAGCTTATTTTTCAGTCATCCTGTTGTTGTTTTTTTCTTTTAGTAACCCGGTGTTTTCTAGGTTCTTTCAGGTTTCACCGTAATTAACTTGCATATATATATATATATATATATAAGCAATAATTTGCTGTAACACTCACTCACTCACAATACATACATGTGCACACACAGAGATTCCTGTTGCTTTCTTTTTTCTCTCCTTGTATTCTTCTTGAAAATTGAACATACTTCATCCTGCGTCTTTCTTTACGATCTTTATTTTCTTCTTTTTGTTGCTTTTGTGAAGGTCTTTATGCATATATACATACATATAACATAAACCAGAAATAAAGAAAGTGTGTATAACTTTCTCTCACAATATCGTATTATGTAATAGTCGTGCAAAAGTACTACTAGCTTCGCATGTTTTGTCATTTCATTGTATCATGTTCTGCGGCCTGCTTAAATCTTGGGCTACCAAAATTTCCATCCTACATATTGCATCTATTTCCTCGGATTTATTTTGTTTTAATCATTCAATTATGTATCCAAGTCGCATTACTTACTCTCGCGATTATTTAAAATGTCTTCAACCTGTTGATTTACGAGTATATAATAACGTTAAGAAAAAGCATCATGGAGGTTGGCAGAGATCATTAAAGTGTACTCCAATGCATCAGATGACTGTTCCTGTGATTATGAGCACAAATTGCAGGTCATTATCGAACAAGATTAACTACTTGCATTCTCTATTATACTCAAATGTATATTGTAATACTGGTGTAATCACTCTTCAAGAGACTTGGCTCCATGATTCATATGACGACAATTTAGTCTCCTTAAGTGGGTTCACAATCTACAGACAAGACCGATGCAGCTCGAAGAAGAAGAGAGGTGGTGGTGTTGCCACTTTTATTAATTCTCAGTGGTCTACTGCCAACAACGTCTGCTTCAAATTCTCAAATGACAATATTGACTGTATAACTGTAAAATGTCGACCTAAACACTTACCTAAGTACAACTCCATTTTTGTCACAAATATCTATATCACACCTTGTTGCAGTCCCTCAGAACTATCTATCTTCGCTGATGAATTCACTATTTTTGCTGCTGCTTCGTTTGGTAACTCCTTATCTATAGTGACCGGCGACTTCAACTCCAGCGACTGCAGTTTTATTACATTGCTGGGCCATGCAAATGTTGTTAATTTCCCAACTCGACAAAATACTTCACTTGATTTAGTATTTGTAAATGATTCTGGAATATACGAAGCTCGTAAAAGAGCCCCACTCTTCAATTCTGATCATTGTATTGTACGAGTCTTACCCAAAATTTACGGAAAGTTACACAGTAAAGCCCTCTCAAACTTGTCTAAGAAAGTTGTTCACAGATGCTACTCAAATGAGAACGTACATCATCTTAGAAACATGCTCAGTGACACAAGATGGGATTTGTTTAATGTTGATTCACTTAATGACAATATCTCTAATATTACATCCTATCTGAAATTCTGTTTTGAAATCTGTTGTCCAAAAGAAACACTATTCGTCAAATTTGACCGTTTCTCCTCGCCTCAACTTAAAAAGCTTCGTAGAGAGAAGGAAAAACTATATAAAATCAAAGATAAAATTGGTGTAAAAAGAACTAACTTCTTAATTAAGTCTGAAATGCAGAGGTTGAATGTAATATATAACCAGAAATTCATGTCCTGCAAAAATCCTTCTAATATGTGGAAACTATTTAAGGAAATCACTGGTGGTAAGCAGATAAACAATATTCCATATTCTTTTGATGTATGTACTCTTAACAAATCTTTTATTTACTCTCCCTCAAATGCCATGCTTCCCAGCATCACTTGTGTTAATAATAGCCCCTTTCCAGGTTTTAACACAAATGATGTTCAAAAGTGCCTCAAGTCTCTAAACCCTTCCCAGAGCTTAGGTCCCGATTATGTACCTAGTATTATTTTTAAAAAATGTTCTGATATTCTGTGTCACCCTCTTACTGATCTATTTAACAAATCTTTTTCCGATAATATTGTGCCTGCCGTTTGGAAGGACATTAAAGTTGTACCCATACCTAAATCTTCTACTGGAGCATGTGTCAAATTTAGACCCATTGCTATTACGTCTCCTTTTTTGAAAACTATGGAGAAATTACTTTTACTTAGTCTTGAACCTTCGCTTAAATCCTTTAATGACCCTAAACAATTTGCCTATAAGCACAGTAGAAGCACTTTAGATGCAGCTGCCGTCTTATATCATAACATTGCTTCCAGTCTAGACAAGGGGGCTAAATTTGTTCGTTGCGCCTTCCTAGACTATACATCTGCTTTCGACTCGGTCCCTAGGGACATCTTATTAAATAAACTTGCTGCTAGTCAAACAGAATGTTGGGCTGTTAACTGGTTACATTCCTATTTCTCAGATAGAAAGCAGTACACCGTATATAAAGGGAAGTCCTCCACTTCATTGCCTACTGAAGCTGGTGTCCCTCAAGGTGCTGTTCTTTCTCCTTTTCTTTTTTCTTTCTTCTTGCACGACTTGCCTCACTCTGATGAAATAAACTTTGTGAAGTATGCTGATGATTTAACGGTTTCAATGGCTGTTAACTCCCAGCTAGATTGTACTAAAATAAATAGCTTTCTATCGGAAGTCAGCAAATGGTCTGAGTCTAACGGTCTTAAACTGAATCCTTCTAAGTGTCAAACTGTTGATTTCAGCTTAAGATGTAAACGACAGTTAAAAGAAGTCATCGATTCTCATGACACTTGTAAAATTGACGACAATGATATAGGAATCAAATCAGAAATTAAGTATCTTGGACTCATTCTCTCTTCTGATCTCTCCTGGTCTTCCCATGTCTTAGCAATCTCCAGTAAAATATTCCGCTTGACATTTTACATTAAGAAGTTAAGACACTCGGGTATAACTCAACCCCTCATCCTACAGTTCGTAAACTCTTGCATCCTACCTATTCTTCTTTATTGCTCACCCTTATTCTTTCCTGGTTTGCTTAAAAAAGACTATGTCACAATTCGTAGAATACTGAAGACTGTCAGTAGAGTGAGTGGTGTCCCAGTGGACCACATAGTTAACGTCGTTGTCGATAGGCATTTGACTTCGTGCAATAAATTTGCTAAAGGGATTTTGTCTGACTTGGAGCATCCGCTTTACCCTCAGCTTTCACCTTGCATCTCCTCAGGTAGAACAAGGAGTAACTTCAGAAAACTGTATGCTCGCACGTCTAAGTATAAGAATTCTATGATACCATACTTGGCACGTATTTTATGTGATGAAAATAGTGTCAGGCAAGAATTAACTAACCTTTTTCATCTAGTAAATAAACAATTTCCTCCATCCATCCTTATATACCTTCAAGTTTTACTTTTATTACTTCTATTATATTTATGGTCCTGTTAATTCTCTGTTTTACTCTCATAATTGCAAACACCAACTTATCTCCATGACGGCTGTAATCTTTGTTTTTTCCTTCACCATATCATGTAGAAAGAACATTATATTCAATATTTTTAAACATGTTAGGATTTCTATACCACATTGCCAATACTGTGTGACACAAGCCAACGGCAATTTTCACTTGTATTATTATTATTATTACCCTAGCTGTTATCATTATTATTGCTATTTCCATTTTATATGCTGCATGTTTTTGACACTACCTCTATTGTAAATGTGGAAAATTTTCTGTGTGATTAATTTTATTTATAATTTGAGGAAATTAGATGCAATATTGTGATTAATGCTGAAAATTCCATTCTGTATCACAAGTACTGTTTTTGGAATAAAGTAAATCATTATTATTATTATTATTATTACATGCTATAGAATCAGGCCACAAAATTGATTCTGACAATATTGAAATAATCCAGAAAAACTTCAGAAACCACAAAGAACGTCTAATATCAGATTCACTTCATATCAAGTGGAATCCAAATTGCCTGAATAGGAATGATCGACTGAAACAGAATCTGACCTGGCTACAACACCCTCACCCATGAAGTAACAAAATCAACGCAAATGTGATGAGCGAATTCACTATGTAAACACACACTACTACAGACTGATAAAATCCAACAATCTACACTTGATTTTGTTATCTTTACCCATTCGCCAACTTGACAACAAAAAAACGACCCAGACTGACGAACGATGACCAAGTATTTCACAACCTACCTTTACCTATTCTCCAACTTGACAACCTAAATGATCCCAGACTAACGAACGATGATCAAGTTAGTAAACCTTGTTTTGATATAATAACAGATATACTATTACCTTCGATATTTGGTTTGAACGGTCTTCATTGTTATTTTGACTTTCATTATGTCCTTTTAAGTTGAACTAAATCTATATTTTTCTCACCCCCTAACTCTTTGTTATATATATGCTGAGATTTGTAAATTCCGGTTTAATAATACTTTGAGAAAGCTATTAGCATTAAATAGCGAAACGTCAGTAAAAACAATCTCGTTTTGTTTTTCATTCATTGGGAAATACAAAAACCTCTATTATAATGAATATCATATACCCAATGCCCAAAATTTTCAAACCGTTAAAAGTGAATTTGGACATATATAAACTACGATTTCTATTCCGAAATATATTTCGAATTTCGGACAATCAATCTGGTGTTTTGAATTGTCTTCGAACTCAGATGAACAAATACTATAAGAGTTAGAGGAGGATAACGACTTCTGTTGGTATGCATCTTACATTTCCTATACATCAATATCACTTAACCATCACAAATGGATCTTTTTGCTTTGGCGTATGAACTCATTGTGGCAGAATATTTCTATAAGAAACTTACACTACGTGAAATTTTTTCTCATTCCTTCACGTTGACAGTGGAACATAGGGCTTCAAGCTAGAGGCCTGAAGTTTTTGTTGCAGTGTTTATTTTTACAGGATGGGGTTGTGATATGTATCCATATATATATATATATATATATATATATATGTGTGTATGGTGGTCTCTCTTTCTGTTTGCTCGCTTAGTCTGTGACCATTTCACTTTGATGAACCTGTCTCCTTTAACAATGTATATTCCCCTTATATTATATATAATATGAGTGTTTGTTGACAGTCCGTTGCTTGGTGACATATATCCATATTATATGTGTGGTTGCTGACATGTCTGCTATATTTTGCTATGTATATATGGATCGATACTCCATTATAATTAGCCATTCATGTTAAGACTGTCTATTGATTTGTTCACACACTTGTCTGGACATTCATATATATTTCGCTCTCACAATCTTGTGTGGCACTTTTGGTGTGATACCACTTTTGCATTCTCCTCGTGTTTGGAAAATAGAAGTATCATCGCAAACCTAGTGGTCTTCTGATTTCCGCCTTCTTGCGTCAGGACTATTAAATTCTCGACCAGTAAATAACAATTTGGCGACGGGGAAAACTACTATTAACCACTCAGTAGCAGCAACATAATAGGTTGCTAGCCTCATGCCCAGCCTTTCCTATTTACCAGCTTTATTACTGGCTTATTGAGGTAAAACAGTGCGTTGGTCGGGGATAGGACCCCGGATCACATGCGTCATTGACGAGTATTCCACCACCGACGCACAAGTGAAATGTTAATATCTAGTATAACATAAGACGCTGGTGGCTAGCTCTCAGACGACTTAAAGATAGGCAATTTTTTATCAGACGTAATTATATTCATGTATCACAAAAGGAAATTATTGATATTCTAAATTACTCTGCTAGTCACTAATAAGTGCATAACCAAAGCACTTGTGAATCTATAGTCAGTTTGTAGTGTGTAATGTGTAAACAATGCCTACTGACTGTGTTTTGTCCTAACCAACTGCAACATGAATTTACAATATTTACCGTTTTCGAGAAGTGAGTTCGTGAATAAATTTTTATTCCTTCACGCTCCCAGTGGAACATAGGGCTTCCAGGTAGAGGTTTGAAGTTTCTGTAGCAGTGGTGATAATTTTACAGGAATGGGTTGATAGCCTCATGCCCAACCCTCCCTCTTTACCAGTCTTATTACTGGTTTAGCGAAGTAAAGGAGTGCATCGGCCAGAGATCGAACCCCAGACCAGCTGCGTAGTGGTCGGGCAATCTACCGCCGCGCCACCAACGCACCTGACTAAACTTACTTAGACCAAACTGAAACCTTTTATTAGAAATATTTATGCTAATGACAGTGTTGTATGGCAAATTCGGCAACTACTAAGTTGTCACGTAAATGTAGAGTGCCCTAGTGAGTGTTTGAAAGTAACTTCCCTATACTGTATAGTGACCTCTAAGACTTTTGAGCCATTATTCCAACGTATAGCTGCATTATAGTTCTATGAAACAATACTGAATGAAACTTGGGTAGTAGTTGAATGAATCTTCACACCGTTATTTCACTTATGGGTGCATAGAGACTTTTTTTGCCTACATTAGTGCAACGGTTTTTTCTTTTGGAGGGATCATAAAGAGACACAAGTGTACATGCATGCCAGCAAACTGAAATCAATTGAAACTTTAGAACTAATAACTCGCTCCATGCTTATCATCAACGCTAGGTACTAAAAATATGTAGTACGCACTTAGGCTACTCATAAGTAATAAGTCTTTTATGAAACAATTTTATTTGAATAATGCAAAAGCAAACTAAACAGGATAGCACGACATTATTATATTTCATCCGTTCTTATCAACTCTATACAACTTTTTAAAAAAATTACAATATCAACATCCACAACTTTCGCATACTTTAATTAAATAATTAGAAAATGGAAACTATTAGTACTAGGTGACTGAATACACGGGGAGTTCAAAGAAAAGAACTACATGTATCAGTAAGTTTGTTAGTATACATAGAAAAGTCACTAGGATATCCCAGAGGTAAGTAGGAAAATAAATGACAATTAGGTGTACGAAAGCCCAAAATATGTAGCTCTTGTCATTTAGAGCTCTAGATTTAAGTGATTCAAAGTGATTGAAATATTAATAATAAGTTGAGTAGAGGTCAAATATAGATGAAGACAGAAAATACACCGATGGATGTGACATGATATGTACTACAGTGCAAGACATGCTGCTGAGTCTCTCTAAAGACATAGGATTATAAATCGATATTATTTGGACACATTTACTCCAATGTATTTGAATACCTTAGCAACATGTCTTACATCAAGAACTTTTCTTACCTATATATTTTTTTTGAAACTGAAAACAAGCACAAGCTGAAAGGTTTCTGAAGCAAAGTAACGTTTAGTATTCAAAAATTATCGTGGAATACAGCACACAGTACGGGTGATCAGAAACTGTAGCCCTTTACTTAAATTTATGTATTTATAAAGGTTTACCGTCTACTTGAATAATAACATTTATGGAATGCGATGCATCCTATTGATCTGTATAAGGAAAACCAGTCAAGTCAAACCTGGGTAGCTGCATCATTCATTAGGCGTTTACCGTGACTAACTAAACCAGGAAAGTTTAATAAATCCGTTTATTCATGCACTAAACTGCTGAAAATGCTTTATCGTTATGAGTTATTAAATTATACAGATATTTTAAATATTATCTTTTATACTTGCGTCGGTGGTATAGTGGTTAGGACGCTCGCCGACCATGCATATGGTCCGGGGTTCCCCCGGCCGGCCTTTCCCCAAAAAGGAAAGGAAAGGTTGGGGAACCCCCCAAAAATTAAAAAATTAATTGGCCCTTCCGGGAAAAGGAAAAATATATTATCTTTTATACTTGGTCCAAGATTCAATCGTCGGCCGACTCACTCCTAAACCTCGTTAAGCCGGTAGAAATTCCGGTAAAGAGAGAAGTTTGGACTTAAGGCTAGCAATCCCACCCGCAAAAATAGAAAGCCACCGCTACTAAAACTTCAAAGCTCTAGCTTGAAGTCCTATGTTCCAGTGGGAACGTAAAGGAACAAAAGAAGAATACCTGAATATATTAACAAATCAGTGGATTACAAATAATTAATAGCTGATTTATGTTTATTAAATGATGGTTGAAGTTGAAAGAAATCTTGTCTTGTTGTGGAACTCTAACCGTATTCTAGCTAAGTCTAACTCTAACTTCACAATCAGTTTGAGCTGTAAATTCTTACGTTTACAACCAATAATTGAACTTGATAAATCCAGTTCTTCCTTGCTTAAGACTTTTCAACTAAGTAATATGTTCCAAAAGACCTGTGAAATTTATTCAGGGTAAATATGAATTATGAAATTTTAAATGTTAAAGTAACATCAAGGATAAAGAGACATCACCTCCTTAAAAATCAAGGTGCATTGCAAATCCTCTACAGTAATAGTGTGAAAATAATAGACCACATACTGAACTTAAGTATTCAAACAATCATTCTCATATGATTATATTTATATTAACTGTTTTGTAGAAAAGCAGATTGAATGCCCCTTCCTCAGATTACAGGTTCAAATATACGACTTCCAGCTTAGGTTGGGAAATCAACTTACATTACAGGACATTATACAACAGGCAATATTCAGCATCTGATATACGAATACGTTGAATGTCAACACATAAAGAGCTCATTTATATAAATTATTTCTTTCAGAATCCTCTCTGACCACTAAATAATTCATGTATGCCAATGAAAATAAGCTATTAAGTTAAGAATTGTGGAAATCTGAAGATTTGTAGAAACCTGAATGTTTTTTTAATATGTCTGAAAACAAGAAAAGAAGAGCAAATAACTAACTTAAGAATAAGTAACATGATGCTCTACCAGATGAGTTACTAGGTGCACTTGAGAATCAGGTCATCATTTCGCTGTCACCATCATTTGTTACATCAATATCAACATTCCAATACATAGCTACCTCAAATAGTCCCTTGAAAATTTCAGAAATCACGAATGACATGCAAGAGCAGCAGAAGTTCTTGTGAAATCAAATTGAAACTGTCTTATAAGAAATAAGCGGAAGGAATATATTATGACCTAGCCCAAACACCTTGATCACACAAACTAGCATTTTAGTACAAATACGATGGGATTGTAAAACTACTTAAAACAATCCCAGCCTGCTTAGAAAGTCCAGACAAAATCTTTCTGAACATTTCATTGTGTAAACACATACTTTCTGTATAATTAATAAAGTTGTATAACCTTACAGTCTGTACATATCTGTCATTTAATTGACAATGCAGAAATGATCCAAACAGGGAAACTTTGGTTAACACGAACATACCAGAATTTCGTATGTTATGTTTTACTGTTACCTTGATAAAGCTATTAGCAGTAAGTAGAAAATCACCGGTACAATAACCTGATTTTCCTCTTCACTTATTGGAAAATGCAATGCTTCATTAATTTTGGGGACACTTTTGAAGAACACTCTTCATGATCTCCAATTTATTTTTACAATTCAAGACTTGTTTTATTTACTGTAAGAACAAAATAGATAATTAAATTAACGAAATAATACCAATTCTGCTTCCCTTCAAACAGGCGTAATGGTTGTCAAACAGTAAACGCAGTGAAAATTCTTAGTATCAGATATAACCAAGTCCATAAAGATGGTGTATCACGATTAAATAAACTATAATCCGTTGTGGATAAGAATTAGTTATGTACTGCATCCTCTGTAGTCTTAAATGCACAAACATTCAGAACAGCCTCGGCTAAAATATACTGAGTTCTACAGACACAAAGCAAAACCGCCCTCACCTACTTGGAGCAAACTACAGAACTTATCATTGGCTTAGTATACCACTATTAGCTAAAGGGGATAGTGCTTACCCGAACTGGAATTTTAGCTGAGAAATTCCAGTTGTCACAACTTTATCACCACATACCTATCAACCTAAGTCCCTCCACCAGTCGCAACTGTTTACTTCTTTGACTGTTTATTTCACCTGCATACAGGTGATTTTATTAAACTTCAGAAATTAATATGTATTTCAAAGGCGAAACATGAGTTTCATACTGGAAGTGACTGAATATCCCTTGTGCTTCTCTCGAATAAGGTGGTTATTTTCATACTGAAGATAGAATGGTCACTTCTTGGGTATAGATTTACTTGATTACCATCTAGAATCCCCTTTAAAACTGATTTCAGAATGTTGTATACTATATTTTATATGCAGCATTACAATTCACAAGATTATACACACCTAAAAATCCCTTTGGAAAGTGAAGTTCCTAAAGAAAACTGTAAGTAAATGTGCAGTTTTCTTTAGACTGACTAAAATCCTACCTTACTTCGTCTCACAAACAAACAGTATATTACTCTCGTACTACATTAGGCTGTGTATGTTAAATCAGTGGAAATACAAGTCTCTTGGATAATCATCTATAGTATATTGGAAAACAATAAAGTAATAATGAGTTACCTAAAAATACCGATGAAGTTAGAAAATAACCGCCTGGCAAAATTATAAATCAGATAATCAACGTCGTAAAGTACACATCAAAAGTACTTTTTAAAAACTGATAATAATATTAATAATAATAATATATAAGAAGATTGATCTATACAGGAAACAACATATTAGTGTTTCTGGTTTTGTGGAAATATGTAGTTCTGTGGTGAAAATGAACTCGCAGCTCCACCTAGAAAGTTGATTTCTTGCAAAACTTCAGGATCGCCTTCCCCAAACAGCGTTAATCTAATTTCGGAATAATATGAATATCCAATGATTAAAAAGCCAACCTAAAATAAGAGAAACAAAGGTTGATTGTCTTCAGTTTTTATTAAGTTAGAATGAAATATATTCTACGTGAAAAAAGACGAAGAAACTCCTGTTGTCGAACTGTTTTCATCTACTTGAGAGTAAATATAAACCACTACATCGTCATCCTCAGATTTGAGGGCAATGTCGATCTCCACTTTATACGACCAACAGTTTATCCAACACCAAAGCTGAAATTATAAAAAAAAATGCATAGCAAAGTTTTATTACACATAAAAATACTATCTGAGTACACTGAGTGTACAACAACCTTCGGACAACACCGATCGGGGCGAATAAGAACGACACAAACTGCCGAGTAAAAAAACCCCAACTCACGTAGAGAACGTAACACACAATGAAGTACATCACGCTGAAAATTAAGTACGGTGCACGCTAAAATCTTGTCTGAACAAAATTAGTAAATATGCGTACCCACGCAGCTAATCCATACCACGAGTATGTATAAACACCGACTCCCAGGTTAGTAATTTGGTAAAGTAGCATAATTACACACCAGGCCCGAAGATATGACTTTAAGTGATAAAGCCTCTAAAGATTTAAATGGTTAACAAAACGGTATTACATATCTAGTCGGCCAAGATATAGCAACAATCACGATGACAGACATGATTAAAAGAATCAAGTTCGAGAAAAACATGACAATGTCACATAATATAAAACCTAAACTTGTTTAATAAGTTTATCTTACAGGCACAGACCTTTCCAAAAGCGGATGCGCCAGTAAGTAGGAAATTGTGGGTCTATAATAAAATCCGGAATCGCCCATGATATTAAGTCCATAACCACAAAAATCCATGAGATAGCTGAAGTAACCTAACAAAAATCACTGCTAGTCAAATGATCTATTACTGCAGTAGTTATGGTTGAAATAAAGCATCCCAAACGATTATCCAGACAAAAGCAACCACGGAGCGGAAATATTGGTGAGACCCCATCTTTCCTTCTGATCAGCCAAACCATACGCTGTTATTCTATGCAAAATTCAAATAATCAACAAATGAGGAAAAGACTCCAATCCGAACATTCGCCCAAATACTGTACACAAATTCAGCGATTTAAAACAAATCCACTACGCAATAGTATATATGTTGATTTTAGGTTTCAGACTTCGGATTCAACTTTTAACATCGTTAAAACGCAACGAATGTTTTAAATCTTGACAATATGTAGGTATATCCATGAATAGAACCAAAATATTTAGGAATAAAAAGGATCACCACAGACTCTACTAATTCATATGTTGCTGTCGAAGAAAAAATTAGGGCAAAGCATTTTCTGCGTCATGTCATTTCCGAAAAAGTGTTCCGTGATTTCAGGAACTTTCAAAGTAATATCTTTGAGCTTTATTGTTCCAGTAGGGTTGGGTGAGATTGCGAACATCGCGCCCAACCAAGGAGAACAAGCAAGGTTTAAGAATATGTTGGCCGGTGATTGACATCTCGACCGCGTGATTTGCCGAAGCGCATGCTTTCTCTGAAACTCCGGCGCAAGATTTCAAACCTATAATTCGGCAATTTTCATAATTAGAATTTGGCATACTATTTTTACTGCGTATGCCTTTCATAACAGCTTCTGCCGAATAAAGAAATGAAAAAATGCTTAAGATAATTAACAGTGATTTCCTACCATCTTTTTAAAAAGTCATCATTTAGTGCAAACTCAATATTGCACAGATACAGGGGGGGAAAATTCGCTCCAGGAAAGATTAGCAATATAATTTCTTGATGAAGAAAGACCGGAAAACGTTTCATAGTGTAATCGCTCACCAAAATAAGTCATTTACGAGCAGATAAATAATCGCCGGTAGCGTTGTCACGTTTATTACTGATACACCAACATAACATGGAGGCTACATGTACAGAAATGAAATTTCAACAGGCTGTATTTTAGCATCAAAATGTAGTCGTATAAGATTCATTTTTATGGTGGTGAATATTCTGACATCATTTAGTGGAATGCAAAGAGCAAAAGTATGACTTGTTGGAAGACTTTAATATCCAGCTCAAATCTCACAACAGTGGTCACACTCGTAATCCCGAGATCTCCAAACAACACTCCACTTTGAATTATTCCACTGCAAGCCAAAGGTCATATTTTGTTAATGACAAAAAGGTGGCTAAATTAAACCTATATTCGGGTCAACTTAGCACTTGTTGTGGTACAAAAACTATACTGTAGGCCATTTTCAATTGGTATGTTACTCCAACAACAAGAAGAAATATAAACATTATTATTTACAGTTCGTAAGGGAGCCTGAAACCATGTTGAGTGGTTTTTTATTAAATGATGAAATGAAGTTAATGTATTTGATGAGGTACTGCACTGGAGTTGCTTCAAGAGCTATACAGTGCTGTATGTTCATGCCCCTACTGGGGGCTACTCTGAGGCCAGGAATATACTACGTCAAAGGTTTGGAAGACCCTCGATGATTGTAGGGAAATTATTTGAAGCTGTTAAGGGTAATGGTGGTCAATTAGGAGATGACTCCAAGGGACTCACTGAGTTTTTGGATAATCTGCTGACTTACAGGAATGCATTGATTTCGATGAATTGCATGAGTGACCTCAACTCGAGTTTTATACTAGAAGTAATAGCAAGACGCCTACCTACTCGACTGCAAAGGAAGTGGGTGAAGATGAGCTCCCGTATAGAGGATGAAGGCATTGAACCAAAGCTTGATGATATCCTGAAACTGGTAAAATAAAGTGCCAATCAATCTATGAGCAAGTTTGCCAGTATGTTGCATCCCAACCCTAGAATAGAGAAGTCTGAGAGCGAAACGCAATAATTTATGACGAAAGGGTCTCCAAGAGGTGGATATCTAGAAGGCTTTATGGTGTCTAGTAATCCATACAAACATAATGACAGTAAAAGATTTCGTGGGACATCCCCAACAGACAGGTTACAAGCTGCAAGACAAACACGGTTGTGTTTTACTCGTTTGCAAGAGGTGCATACAAAGATGAACTGTGAATCAGTGACCAAGATTAGTCATAAGCTAAATGTGAAATCAAGGTCTGACTTCGAATTGTGTGATGATAACAGTGCGGTCAAGAAGTCTGTAGTTGTAACTGGTACGCCGTTGTTGAATAAAGTGTCACAGAATAGAGTTGCTGCTTCAGAGTGCAGTTCTGACCCTACAAGTTTTCAAGGTGTTACTAGTCAGAGTGAAGGTATAAAATCTTTGAGGATTTGTGAGAAGGAACCAAAATTGTCTATTTCTGTTATTAAAGAGTTTGAAATTGATGAAGTCGACCAGATAGATGATGATAAATTGAATATTTGTGATAATGACCATGATACTTCACATTTGTCTTTGGTTGATCATGATGAAATGAGGGGAGTGCCTACTACTGCTAAGTTAATTAAAGGTTCTGTACAACTACAACGTGAAGTAGAAATAAATGCAGTTTAGCAGGCATGTATACTTGTCAGACCGTCAGTTTAATTGATCAGCATGTAGCCCACCTATCGTCAGATGTTAGCACTAAACCTGAGCTAATAGTAAAAGACAGCAGTGATAGTAATCTTGCAGTTAGAGAATTTTCTGAAAGCCGAACAAGAACAGCTTCTGATCCACCGCTAATTTCATCAACTGGTATCAATCAGTTGTCGTTGGTGTTTTCGTCCATAGTGAAACGGACGCCCATGAACTCAAGTATCTTGTGCAATGATTTTGTTAGTATTGGTGCATTTGAAAAGACGAAAGATATTGGTCAGTTTCACGAGGATAAGCTAGCTGTGTATGAGAATGTAATTGTTAAACTGACTTGCACGAATAAAGGCCTTTCAAGTTTCAAGTTGCTATTTCAATGTTATTATCTTTGGTGTAAATTACTCTGTGCCTACGCTTGGTTGGTCAGATACATCGTGTGTTTGTTAGCCATTTACATTCCGCGATGCAATGACATGGGCGCGTTACCGTTCAGATTTGAGGATATAGATGATGGAAAGAGGTCACCAAATGAACTCTGCGATAAATTTCCAACCTACGGCGTCAACCTGAGAAGGTTTGTAGGCGTACTGCTGTGAGTCCTACAATTCTTCTAAGGGTAGTATGTCGAAGCGCAGTCCAACGTACTTAGAGTGTTATTTTGTACACATGTTCATGTTGTATATACTGAATTGGTATCATCTCTCATCTGTCTGTTGATAATTTTATTTGGGTCCGGACATCTTCCACTTGCACCATCAACCTGAGAGGGAATGTGGGCGTACTGCTGTGTGTCCCACAGTTCTTCAAGGGTAGTTCGTCAGGCCAGAATCCACAACATTTGATGTATTGATTGTACATATGTTTGTGTTAAGTAATTGAGTGGGTTCCGATTAATGTAATTGTTGGTTAATCTCGTTTGTATCCGGACATTCTTCAACTTACAATCGTCAATGTGAGAAGGGTTGCAGGCGTACTGGTGTAAGTCCTGAGATCCTTCAAAGGAATTCCGTCAAGACATGATCGGCGAGGTTATGTCTACTATTTGTATATATGTATGGTGTATCACATGAATTGGTGTTGTTTGGATTCACTGTGTTTACTTGTCGTTTTCGAAATTTGTTTGTATTGCATAGTTTTGTTAATTTTTCGTTGTGCTTACTTCTGAAGTTGTTTCGAGTCTTTCACATCCGTGAATGAATTGATTGATGTTAAAGACAACAGATGGGTCGTATACGCCGGGGAGGCTAGGCTAGTGCTGAGAATGACATACACACGGAGATAAGCATTAGATGTGGAATCAATGATTTAGAATGAATGTTTCTATTTAGGCCGTGGTCTCACACGCCGGGGAGCGAGAGTGTAGACGACTGAGGCTTGCATACGTCACCGTTACTAGAATTGAGGCAGAATGAGTGACAAGCGATTTCAGTGGTAATTGATAGTGAATAGATAAGAGGATGTGCGTAGAGTATCATGAGGTGGTGCTATGGTCACGTTGCGTTCTGCAAGAGTCATTCTAGCAAGTGGCAGTTGTGTTGCAAGAGGATGTGTCAAGAGGGTGCCTTTAACTGGAAGGCGTAGGTCGTCATCGATGAGTCAGTTTGTGCTGTCGGTATGCATGTGATGTGTTGGCTTTTCTGTTTGTTTTCCATTTCAGCTCTGTCCGTGTGACCCAGGTTCTCGCAATGGCATCCAAGTCAACGTGCATTGGTCATGATGGAAATAAGGGATGGATCCCTTTTTTGACGGGGAGTGTCAATGTAGTTGAAGACTGAACGATCAATTCTTGGTTGTTTGCTCAAACCCAACTTCCCCAATTTTCGCGGAGGTATCAATACACCAGTCATCGTCTCATCGGTCGCTGTTCAGAAAGTACCTAGTTAAATCTGTCAGAAGTAATATCATGACTTTTTGTTGTAATTTTTTTCCTAGACCTTAGTCTGTATTGCTAACAATAGGGGTTATATGTTGGTGTTAGAATAAAGAATTCTCGAGTCGCCAATCTGTGTTCTGATTTTTGCGTCGGTTGGTACTACACGTTTCTGAAAGGCTCCGAGGGACAGTGTGAGGCCCAGCGTAGCAAGAGCTGACCATTAGCGGTTTACGAGACGTTATTGACAATTAAGTTGCAATATTGATGTAGCTCATCTGCTCCTATTTTATGAAGTAGAAGCCGTACTTTCCAGGCATCGTGTTTATCCACAACTTCTACTTGATATAGGTCTTCATATCTGCGAAACCAGGCATCAAAAGTCATGTTCGCATCTGGATGATAAACGAATTCTGAGATGCTACTACGAATGCTGTCGTTGACCTTGGATGGATCGGCAGGGCGTGATATCTGTAGACCAGCAAGCATTTCCATCATTTTTAGCTGCTGTTCCATCAGTTTCTCTAAACGCAGTGGGTCCATCTTGAGTAATCCCGTCACCAAAGTTGTTATGTATGAATATTATGACCTTGTAGACTACGAGCGAGTCTTACTTAATGCGCTGGCTAATCTGTCCTAATCGCACATCAACAACAACAATAATACCACCGGGCACGCAAGACAAAGAAAGTAGACTGGACGTTGATACGAGAGCTTTCACTGTCTCTACAACAG